GGGAGAAAACGGCGGGCAGAGAAACATCTCGTCTATTGCCGTGGAAACATTGCTTTCCTCCCTGACAATAAGGCCAGTCCTAGTCGCCATTAAATAGGGCTCCACCACTTGTTATCAAGGCTGCACTGAGGAATGGATGGTAGTTCAGAAAGCAGCAATAAGCCACGGCAATGAGAGAGGGTCAATCCCGTTCGAATAGGGTATAGTTCTTGGTCTATTCACGTGAGAGAAAAGTTTAAGTATGCTAGGGAGGACATGGAAATGAAACGAACGAAGGAGGAAGAAAGGAATACTACGCTAATCGCCATAGAACAATCGCTGCCACCCTCACTTTAGAAACTGTGATACCAATCCAGCTCGACATTCCATAACTCGAGATCATTAATTGCTACGGAGCGGCTGTGCTAAGGAGTGGTAACACTTCTAGATGAGGGACAGCGGTAGTCCACAGCGATGAGCGCGATCAACCCCTTCCGGTCGATTCGTGGAACGTTTAGATAGGGCGGCTGACTGAGGGAAGGAAAGATGAGTGCTAGAGGAGGTGTACCCTGTCCTGAAATGAATGAAGATGGAAATAAGACTGAAGACATGCCGTCTGTCGGGGTGGAGCAACCGCTGCCCTATAATATTTCAAAAGCTTGACCAGCCCGAGCCGACACTTCGTAGAGCTACGCCCCTCATGGCAGAGCAGCCGACATGAGGACTTTGTCGCGCCGAGGAAGGAAGGAGCAGCGGTAATCCACAACGACGAGAGACGGTCGTGCAAATTCTGATATCGGTGCGAGAGCGGAGGCACCTAGCAATTCCTGGCATGCCCATAACACAAAAGAACGGAGGTGTGAATACAAACAGAGACCGCTGGACGAGCTTGAACGAGTGTGAGCGTTATGACATTCTGTCATGACGAAAGAGCAGTAAAAGTGGCGGAAGTCTGACGAGGATGCCGGAGAACCTCCCTGTCAGAGCCGTCACGTTTGCAGGCCTCTTCGTATGGAACACCGTAGAGCTCGCACACGCTCTTACGTCCACGGTGAAGACCTTGGTTGTTGATAAGCACGAGTGTGATGTATCAAGTAGAATGGAGGAAAACGGATGGGGAGATCCATAGGACAAGTTGAAAGATGACCGCCGGATGATAAAATAAATGAAAGGAGGCGGGATGTGCCAAAATGGCGTCCCACAAGCGCCTTCGCACTGACGTCACATATAGCCGCCGGATCGGCATGAGATCCAGATCCTATGCAGATTGGCGACGACCCGATTTGGGCGTGTGCGCACAGACCGTCCCGCGTCAGTTAAGTATAATCATCGAAGATCCGAAGTACGCGCCTTTTCGAACGCCCAAGACATGTGGATGGGAGACAAGAAACCAGAAAGTGCCAGACGGAAAAGCGAATGGTGAAACGGTGAGGCCGAAGAGAGATCGAAGGATGCGCCACCAGGGTTCGAGCTCGAGAAGACGGACTACCAGCGTGTCCTACGACCAGCTGCGCTACGCCAACGAGGATGCCGAAGACCTGCATGTAGCCTCTCGACTAGAAGGTAGGCCCGTTCGTCGAGATATCGGCCTGAGGGAGAGGGAAATGAGAGTTGTGTTCGGGGACACAGATTCTAGTATCTTTGCTCGCCGAATATCACCTCCCGCACGGACGGTGGCTCAGTAGAGAGACAAATCGCCGTCCAACTCCGTTCTCTTGAGCCCATGCAGCACACGCCTCCTTTCTCATTCACGAATCGACGACTCGAAAAACATGTAACGTGTAGTCGATGGGTGAGGACGCGGGCGAGCAAGGACAGCATTGGCGAAATAAAAATTTAAACGGAACGAAGTTGTCTTGGGATGAGATGTTGGACATGGCCGCGGGCCAGTGCGATGATCTCGATGAGAGATCGAAGTTGTGATGAGGACGAGGGTAGGATTTGCGAAGCACCCCGAGACGGAGAATCGAGATCGATGGACGTTCTAATACTCTAGACAAAATAGAGGATGGAGGAATGAAGTCCCGCGAAGGAAGATCCGTAGAAACCACAATAGAATAGGTGCCCTCGCTGTTCTCGAGCACGAACCGCACAGCTCGTATCGAGGAGCTCGTTCACAGTGCTAGAGATTGATATGACCAAGGCCTCCAGAAAGCGCATTCGAACAACTCAACCAAAGTTGAACACGGATACCCAGCAAGAACCTCATCACAGAGGAGGGGAGAGGACGACGGCCTGAGCAGGAGGTGCGTAGTGTTGGTGGAGGAGGAAGTGGGGAGAGTGCGAGGAGATGACGAGGAGGACACAGTGGTTGGTAGAGGTGGAGACGGTACCCGCGGGGGTGGCGAGAGAAAGAGAAGGGAAGGGAGAAGGGAGAGAGAAGAAACAACGCATACGTGGCATCACACCGTGGGCGGCGCGGGCCCACTCGTGTGCAGCTGTACGGGTTCACCCGGTCCGGGACACGAGGATCAGGATACTCGTCGATGTGTTCGTTGAATACGAGCGTTCGTCTTCGCAGCACGCTCTCACACCTGAAATCACTCTCCAACCCCCCAAGAAGAGTCAACCCAAAAAATCAGACGAACTCATAACGATAAACCCTTCACCCGGCCCCTCCTCGAAACGACCTTCGGACTGCGGATGCGGTCGATAGCGTTCCGCTGCGATGGGCACGGACAGCGCCTGACCGTTCGTTTGTCTCTGTCTTTGTCTTAGCCAGTGTCAGCAGAGAGAGAGGAGAGGAGATATGAGGACATAGTCGACAGCCCAGTAGGCCAGCTCGCAGCCGCCTCCCATCCCATGGAATCGATCGTCGACGATCGGCTCTCTCGTCGTGGTGCCTCCCTCTTCCATCCCCCGAATACGTAACCCAGCAGGAGAAAAGGCACTCAAGTCGAATTCGCCTCGCAACGCCTCTCTCCGGACAGGTTGTTGTGGGTGCTTTTCCAGTGGTGGTGGTTGGGAAGGAACCTGGGCCCGGATCCTGATTGGCAGACGGCTGGAAAGGTCCGAGTCATGCGCACGGTCCCTCCTGGATTCAGAAGGACTGCTCTGAGCAGGAAGGCGATAAACATTACACGCCTGCCACCTATGTAGGGAGGACATCACGAGGAAATTTGAGAGACTAGAAAAGGCAAAAGATGACACATGAATGCCAATGGAAGGGATAATTTCAAGGGAAGATATATAGACAACGATAAAACGATGTCGTAATGGTCTTGAAACGCCGAAAATAGTGCCAGACGGCAATAGTAAAGGTAGTAGAACATCGGGGTGGGTCTTGGATACAGCGTAGAAGGATCGCGATGAGCAACAAAATAAGAGAAAAGATCACCGAAGCACCTTCATTATCGTCGAGAAACTGGGTCGTAAGGTACCAGGTCGTGGTAAGTTAAATGCCTGCAGTGAGCCACGTAGAATTTCGGAGTAATCAATTCCTAATTGTCTAAATGCTTAGTAGTAAATGGCCTTAGATTTGTGAAATTACATCAGAAGTCGAGGCGGTATGGGAAGGAGGCTTACGAGACCGAAACCAGGCATGAAAACAGCAGGTGGAGTTGAAAGATAGTTATGTGGACGTCGGATTTTCGTCGCGTGAGAGGATGGCTACAGGCGAAGACCACAGGAATTTGGAAGCGGCATCCCTCGAGACTAGGTGCATCGATTTGAGGCACGTTGAGGTGGACTTTCAGCTCGATGAACGAGGAGACGGAGTAAATGGCGAGAAGATCACGGAATAAGTGGCTGAATATGCCTCTAGTGATTGACTAGAGACGGATTAACGGTGCTGGAGGTGGTCGTGGTAAGGAACGAAAGAGCAGTATTTATTTCTCACTGGAACCGGTGGTTGCCGGAGTTCTCAAATCTTCGCATCACGCGCACGGACCACGGCACTCTCACTCGTATCGTCTCCTAGACTCAACCACTACTGTTATGCTACGATCTTCCTGCCATTCCTCACACCTCAGGTCTTTTCAGAAACGATCGCCATGGGATGCTCGACCAAGACACTCTTCTGACTGAGGAACGATGATTGCCGTCGCATGATTGCGATGGGTGGCTGTAGGGAGTTGTCTTTTGGGATTATGGCTTGAGGTGTGTCCCTTTCATTGCGATGGCGGATCGACCGATATGACTGGAATATTATTATACAGTATCATTCTAAGCTGCTCCGCCGTCCTGGGACTCCGACGGCACTTGTGGAGAGGCGACGCCGTCACCTCTCATCTACCCCAGAGACCACCCTCTGAGTCGTTTCAATGGTGCTGCCATTTGTGAAGTTCTAAAATACTTGTCAGCTGCCATCCTGTCGGTGTCGTTTGTGCAGCCCGGCGCAGTGCTGGTGCTCGCCCAATGCTGGTGTGAACGCCTACTCCCACCATCGCTTACATTGGCTCTCAATGTCGTCTTCACTATGTCCGTATTCTTATTCGATTTCTGGTGCAATTTTCCGTGCTCAACGTCTTTATGCTCCTTTATTTCCTTCTTATGCTCCTTAGCATTTCGGCTGCTTCTAGATGCGAACCCGGGACCTTGGATGAATTCTGGAATCCTTTCTATCTAAAAGACGCGAATGCTAACAGCGCTAACACGTAGCGTCAACACTAGAATATTTCCGGTTTATTCTGTCCCTTTAAAAGCTATTTTAAATGCATTGAAGCGTTTTGCTTTTGTCTTTTTCCCGGTCTCCACCCCTCATCGATTTGCCGTCCATCGATTCGCTGTCCGCGCGGATTTGGGAGGTGGACCCAGCGGATCCCAAGTGCCAGTTCCAATGTTCCAATTTCTTCAATCAGGGTTTGTTTTTACGAGGAAGCTCCTTCTTGGATTTACTGCCCGTATTACATGCAATGCCACGCTCTTTTCAATATTATTATAAATCTGTTTCCATCTTTCTGTACCGAAGCTCATGTAACTTACCAGCTCATCATAGGATTATATGTCGACGGCCGAATTCCAACACCTGCTCCCCCATTTCATATCAAAATAAATAAATTGAACAGACGTGAGCTACAGCTCTACAACTTCCTAAGTCTCAATGGCGGAATAACGACGTTCAAAATAGATTTCATATACGACCCATTCGGCGAACGTTCAAGCTTCTCCAAGTGATAGTTGACTGTTGAGATTTCTATGCGCCTTTCAGACTAATGTAAGTGCATGCTCCCAACAAGGACGGTTTGGACGCTTACCCCGACCCTTCCAAACTCGGCCGAGAACGTCTCCTAGAGTGTACCCAACATGGGCGAACCACCCAGCTAATGAAGTCCACCACCCAACTCCGCGATCATCGGCCGGCATAATGGTCAACTGTGTACGCACATGGAAACGGTTAGTTAGAGCGGGGAATAATTTCTTCGAACTGTAGTGAACAATCGCGCCACTCACCTCTGCGATATTGTAGACATAGTTGTTGACCGTGGTTAAGTTCACACTCTCGCCAGTGATGGTGGTGTTCTCTGCGTTTTGGAATGCGCTCATCCTTGTTGTTTCTGTAGATTGTTACGAACCGGCGGGAGGGGAAGAGGAGGGATGAAAGTGATGGGAAGCCAATGGCTCTCTCCGGTCGTGGGGGATACAAGCTGCGTTTGGGGAAGGGAATGAGGTCAGGCCAGGCAATGATGAAGAGGAAGCGCGCGTCCGACCTGCGTAATATCGATTGCGTTCAAGTTGTAAACGTCCAGTAGCCTCCTTCGATGGATGTGTGTACGTTTTAGATAGTTTTCGTACAAGCTGTGAACGCCCAGCTCGCTGCGAGAGGAGAGGCAAGGTGTAACGACACCCCCGACCTCGGACAAATATAAGTAAGAGACTACGCCAGTCTATTTTAAGCGTGAGACAGTTCTGATTGATGAGCGTATATGGAGGGAAGCCGTGGGCGGTGGCGGCAACGCCGATCCCAGACTCTGCTCCCAGTAAGAAACCCCGCGCTACCCGGGTAAGCCGCCCTAGGATCAAAGCCTGACGTGTGCTGACGGTCTCTTGGCGTCTTGTCCGTTCAGATGAAAAGAAAGAAAAGAAAAATTTAAAATGTGAGAGGAAACCTCTGGCGGGATATACTTATCGCAACAGTAAGCGCGCTAAACCTTGGTGCTGAAATGCGAATCACTCCTCTCGCACACTCATCGATTATCACGTCTCAGCGTCTGGAAATCGCTTGTCCCATAAGCACAAATTCTATCCACAATACATACCACCTAAACGCCAGAAGCACCCTGAGCGCTAAATCTAAAGGTCCCCAGGCATCCCAAAACAAACAGATAGTTAATACATTTCACATGTCCCAAATCCACGTTGCCTCTGTGGTAAATATTCGTACATAATTTGTTCCTTGTTGTAGATTCGTTTCTCCCGAAGCCACTAACCAAGCTCTTCTCCGACGTATGTTCTCCATCCGTCCGTCCCGAAAAAATCCTTCGTCCATCCCAACGAATTTCCGCTCCAACGCCGCCTGCATCGAGAGCTCAGTCGCGTGGAATGTCGACCTTGAGCGGCGCCGAGAAAAATTCCAACGACTCTGCGGTATAGGGCGGGTAGCGCATCGCGAGGACGGGTTCGTCGCTGTACAATGCAAACGAAAGGTAATTAGCGATCGACGTCAAAAAGAAAGTATGAGGAAAGACGACGAGGAAAGACGAAAGAGAAGGCAGAGGTACGCTGAACGAGGCAGAGTCTGTCCGCAAGACGCAAGACGCAAGACGCAAGACACCAGCACCTCCCCTAGCAAGCAAACGAACAAACCACCACCGCTATCCGCTGGGCGCACCGACGCCGGTCTCTGCCACACCCGCCAACCTATAAGAGTCCCTAAGGAAGGCGACGCCGAGGAGGAATGGCAGGTATCAAGAGAGTCCGGGGGCGGGGCGGGCAGCGGTGGGAGGTGTGGTGTGCTAGGACATCAGGCGGACGGTTGGTGGGGGAGAGGGAAAGAAAGGAACAGGAGAGAGGAGGACGGGAAGAGCACGAAGAGCACGAGGAAATGGAAAAAAAAGGAACGAACGAATGAACGACGTCAACCAACGAGGTGCGGGTGGGAGTGGGGGGTCCCTCCTCGTCCCCGGACGTGCAGGTTCGAGGGCGAAGCGCAAACGGACGAAAGGAAAATACGACGAACGCGAACCCACGAAAAAAGGACGAGTGCGGGCCAACGAAACGATAGATATCCGTGGTGGCGAGAGACGTCCTGGTCTTCATCCCGTCTCAAGCGAAAAGCGAAAAGCAGAGAAGAGAAAAGAAGAGACGCCCAAGTGAGGAAGTAGGAACGAGCGACCACGCGCAAAAAACGCGACGTCCAACACGGGCCTCTCCCCAAAAGCGACCAAAAGAACCCTACACAAGTGAAAATTGCAAAGAAAGGGAGCAAAAAAAAAAAGGAACCAAGAAACCAACAATCCAATCCCAAAAAAAAACCAACTCACCCAAAAGGAACATCCACCACCCCCCGCTCATAAACAAAATTATCAAAACTGTACTTCAAGACCTGCCGGCCGTAGCCCGACTCGCCCACCCCGCCGAACGGCAGCTCGTTGATGGCGACTTGGGCGAATGTGTCGCCGAAGACGAGGGTTCCGGATGTTGTGTGGGATTCGACTGGGAGGAGAGGGGGTTGTTAGTGGGAGGGAGGGAAGAAAGGAAAGGGAAGGAGGAAAGGATGAAAGGAAAGACCAAAGAGAGGGAAACGGACGTACGCCTCTTCTTCACCTCCTCCCCATCCGTGAACGCATATATCACCAACGGGTGTTCCCTATCCTCCAAATACCTCAACGCCCCCTCCACCCCCTCCACCTCCACAACCGGCAACACCGGCCCAAACAGCTCATCCTCCAACAACACATCGCCCTCAGGTACATCCACCACCACCGTCGGCTCAATCCCCCTGCTCTGCACATCCCACCGGCCGCCAAGCACCACCCGGCCCCGCGTGCGCTCCAGCATCGCCGTCAGCCTTCCAAAATGCGACTCTGACACGATCCGGCCGTAGTCTTTACTCTTCAACGCACCTCCCTCCTCGGGGAAGAACGCCTGGAGGTGCGTGCGGATCTCGGCGATGAAGGAGGAGCGGAGGGACGGGTCGACGAGGACGTAGTCGGGGGCTACGCAGATCTGCCCGGCGTTCTGCGTTTTGCCCCATATGATGCGCTTGGCGGCGAGGGAGAGGGAGGACGGGGAGAGCGGGGGGAGGAGGAGGACGGGGGATTTGCCGCCGAGTTCGAGGGTGAGGGGCGTGAGGAAGTGGGAGGCGGCGAGGGAGATGAGGCGGGCGACGCGGGCGTTGCCGGTGTAGAATATGTGGTCGACTGGGATTTTGGGTGGGGGGGGAGGGGGAGGGGGGAGCGGGGGAAAGGGACAGGGAGCGGGAAAGGGAGGGGGAGCGGAGACGGGAGGAACGGGAGAAGCAGGAGGGAAGGGAGAGAAGGAAGAGGGAGCAGCGGAGGGGTGGAGGGAGAGGGCGGAGGAGAGTCGGCAGAGACGCATATAACCAGCGAAGACGACGTCGAGAACACAAGCAACGACGAAAGCCCGAGAGCACAAAGCAGAAAGCACGAAAAAACAGTGTATCAGCACCTACTCCCAAAATAACCTCACACCGCCAACCAAAACCAGTAGATCTCACTCACACTTGACCTGGAGCAGCTCCGTCGTCTCCTCCACACCGCCCAGTACGACCTTATACGCCGACGTATCGAGGTACTGCGGGAGGAGCGTGGCGAGCAAGGATGAGAAGTGGGCGGAGATCTCGGAGGGCTTGATGACGGCGCAGCACCCAGCGGCGATCGCGCCGTAGAGGGGTTGGAGGGCGAGGATGAGGGGGTAGTTCCACGGGCTACCATCGAGGAACGTCCGATGAGCCCACGCATATCGAACAGAAGAGAGGGAAAGAGACGCACGCAATGATCAACACGACCCCCTTCGCCTCCTTCACAACCCGCGGCCTCCACCCCCTCTGCCACACCTCCACCTTCCCCTCCAGATCCTCCGTCTGCACCCACTCTCCCACCTTCTCCGCGCAGATGAGGGACCGCTCGACGATCGCGCCGACCTCGGCCATGATGCTCTCCTGCTTTGGCCGGCCGAGGTCGAGGTGGATGGCGGTGGCGAGGGCGTCGGCGTTTTCTTGGGCGAGGCGCGCGAGCTGGTGCAGTTGGTGGCGGCGGAAGGCGAGGGGCTTGGTGTGGCCCGAGCGGAAGGTTGTGCGGAGGGAGGCGACGATCTGTGGGGGGGAGGGGGGGAGGAGGAGGGTGATGACGTGACACACAAGGGAGGGAGGGAGAGACGTACCTTGGGGATCTCCGCGATAGGGGTGTAGTCAGACATGTTCACTGTGTTTAGCAGATGCGGGGTAGTTGCGGGGTGGTGCCGTCCATCGCTTTTCTTTCCTTTATATGCAGGCTGTGATCAAGGTGGGGGTGAGAGCAGCCCTTCCGAATCGAGCAGGGGACCGTGCGCGTGACCTCGCACTTCCGCCAATCACGTTGGAGTTCCTTCCGACCACAACCCCCATCCCGATTCCCAAAGCACCCGCGAACCGAAGAGAAAGAGGGGCGTTACCAGAGGGCTTACCCGCCGGGCTACGTATTTCGAGAGAGGGAATGGACAGCGGGTCGATCGTTGACGAATCGATGGCTGCTGACTGGGGCTTTCCCTCTCTCACACGCTGCGCTGCCCTCTTCAGAGCCGTCATCAACCTTCCCATCTCCCATCTCCCAAGTCCTTCCACCTCCATCGTCCATCTCCTCATACGCACTCTAACAATCACCGGTTTCCAATTCGTCTTTCCCCTTCCCCGCCCCCACATTCCCCGCATCCCATTCTCGCATCCCCACCCGTCCACTGATCGCACTCCCCTGAACCAATAGCAAGCGAGGAAGAGCGACGGGAGAGGATGTACGGCCTTCTCTGTGCCTTCCCTGACAAACGAGCGATCAGGCGCCGTCCGCGCCCGTCGCGCGGGGACACCTGAATCACCGCATGCGAAGGGCGGGTGAAGAGTTTATCCCCTGCCCGTCGTTCGAGTGTTCGTTCGTAACTCGTTGTCAAGTACTCACTAACTGCTTCTCCAGTAGAGCAATGAGACATCTCCGGACCGGGGATCTACCGTGCACGAGGTACTTGCGTGCGTGCGTGGGCCCGCACCCTAACCTAAGACCTTCGGTTGTTCCGAGATGTTACGAAGTGGAGGTGTGTGGGTGGGTGCCACGTATGCACTGCTCTTCGTCTCTCGTCTTTCTTACTACCAGCCTCTCTCTCACTTCCTCCGCCAGCATAACCGCTCGTCTCTCTCGTCTCTCTCGTCTCTCGTCTCTCTCGTCTCTCGTCTCTCGTCCTACCCACCCTCTCCCTCCCGACGCCCAACCCCAAACGACGCCAAACACCCCGCACCAGCACTTGCTCCCGAGTCCCGACGGACCACAACCAACGTCTACTCGTTCGTCTTTTCTGCCTTGGCCTGGCGGGGGTGACCGCTCAGACGATCCGTAAACCGTCCGTTTCTCGTTTCTATGCGTCTGCGAGGTGCTCTCAAGCTGTGGTGTTGGGAGGGTGTCGACGATCGGGATTGGGGTTCGGGTCTCGTTCTCGTTCCGTTCTCTTCTCCCAGCCTCGCACCCACTTCCCACTTTCCACGGACGGTCACCGGTGCGACCCTCTCCTCGTCCTCCTACTCCAATTCTCTCCCCCTCATCCTCGCCCTCGCCCTCGTCCTCGTCCTTTCTTCCCATCTTCCTCCTTTCCCAACGACGCCAAACACCCCCAACACCAACACTTGTACCCGACGGACGGTGTTACGAGGGTCGACTATCTTCGTCTGTCCACAGGTCCTTCTCCGCCCTCCGCGTTGGAGCTTGGAGGAAGGTGGACCTTGTAGACGATATCTTCTATTTCTTTGAACATCCGTCCGTCGGGTGTTGGTGTTGTTGGTATGAGGTGTTAGGACATGTCGATAATTTCGTTGTTCGTCCTCCCCCCCTCCCCCCCTTCTCTACCGCCGCCCACATACCCCTCCCCTCACCCGCCCCGCCCCAACCGCGCCTGCACCCGACGGACGTCCTCAACGTTCGTCTTCGTCTGTCCACAGGTCCTTCTCCGCGTTTGATCCCGGAGGAAGGTGGACCTTGCAGACGATCTCCTCGATTTCATTGAATACCCGTCCGTCGGGTGCTCCTGGCCACGGATAACGTCTTTCGTCCTGTGGAGACTTCTGGTGCTCCACACACCTCTCGAAACCACCCCACCACTCACCGGCGACCTTCGCATCCGCTTCCTTGACGCTACATAGCATAGCATGTGCCCCCACCAGGTCGATACGACGTGACTCATGCTCCAGGACGGCGGTGGTGCTCTATCGTCCTTCGTACGGTCTTCGTCCCCCGTCCTTGACCTGATTCATCCTCGTAAGTGTCGACCTGGTCTCGGTTCGCCGTCTTACGTTGCAACTACAGTCTCGATCTCTCCTCGAGACAATTGGCTTAGGCACACCGTCCATGCCCGATACCCCAATACGAATTCGTTCGTTCGTTTGTCCGTGCTGTCCTTGCTTGCTCGTATCCCCACGTGCCGGCCATCTCTTCTGGTTCGTTCGTCGTCGATTCGTCGTTGACGATCTAGGGTAAAGGATGCGTGTATTGCATTGACTGGAGCGAACGGATTCGGTGGGCACGTTGGGTCTCTCTCTCTCGAGGCACAATGCATCTGCGAGCAGGGAACTACGAATCTCTCTGCAGCGTCGAACACACGACTCTCTTCTCCCTCTTCCTCTGGCCGAATCTGAATTATCTCGACAAACGGGCCTCTTCGATCTCGGACTCGAGGCCTCGACTCTCGACGACTTCGTCTTTCTGTTCCCCATTTCTTATCCGCGTGTCCTTGATCCTCCTGAGCATTTGAAGAAGCCGCTCCGAGGTACGTACCTTTAAATCCACAATGAATACCCTGAACTCACGCATCGAGCTTTACACCTTTTATCCAGGACCATCCTCTCCGTCAACTTCCTGTTCTGACGTGACCGCCAAGACGGTCCGTGCGCGTATTCCTAAATCAGGTCTACGCAGATCTTCCCTAGATCTAGATCTCACGTCGTGACGTCAGCGTCAGCATACTTCGCCACAAGTCCTATTTTTGGTCTGCACCGCCACCTACCACCTCCTCGTTTATCTTGTCTCGCCCGGCGATCCTTTTTCAACTCGATACCTCAGACTCGTGCCTACGATGAACCAAATCCTCTGCGGACGGACACAAGAACGAGCGCTGACTGGAACCAACCTCTACGGAAAAGTCGGTGAGGGCGACGGCTCCGATGGGGATGGACGTCCTCGTCGGACCTCGCGCCGCTTTCAATGCTTTTCGTTGATACAAATGGTCGACCTGTCGCGCTCGTTCGATGTCGTCTTTCGGTCTTTGGGTTTATCGTCTGTCCGTCCTGTTGGCAGGCCACGAATTGCAAGCTGCCTCCGCTCTTGCACCAATCTCAGAATATACATGACCGTCTATCGTCGTTATGGATTACCGCTGCCCTTCCTCCGAAGACTTTCCCTTTCATCAGCTCATCCGCTCTGTAATTATCACCTCGATGTTACGGAGTGTCGAGTCTGATTTGCGGGCAATCAAGTATGAATGGGCAGCGGTCGTTCCACCCCGACAGGCGGTATATATACCTCGTGTCTTATTTCCATCTTTGTTCGTTTCAGAACTGCACGCACCTCCCTTATCCCTCGTCTCTTCTTCCCTCACTCAGCCGCCCTATTTCAAGGACCTCGGAAACCACCGAACGGAATTGGCCGTCGCTCGTCGTCATAGACTACCGCTGGCCCTCTTCCAGAAGTGCTCCCACTCCTCAGCCCAACCGCTCTATAGTGATCGATGACCTCGAGTTATGGAGTGCTGGCTCGGATTAGTACCACGATTCCTTCGCACTGAGAGGGTGAAGCGGTTGCTCGGCGGCCGTCGACGAGGTTGCCTGTCTCCTTTCTACTTACTCTCGTTTCGCTCTGCTCTTGGCTGGATGTGAATCGGTCATCCCGCCCATCACTGCACGGCATCGGAACGATAATCGCTCTTTGTTGTAGATAACCGCAGCCCCCATCACGACAACCCAGCCGCCAACTCGGGCGCTTTGTGCAATTGCCGAGTTTCCGCAGAGCATATCCTTGCAAAATCTGGGAGGCTGCGGTTGTTTCGTGGCGATTGGCATAGGATACCCCTTTTCTCCCTCGTTCATTTTCTATGTCCTCTTAAGCAAACTTCAATCTGTCTTCTTTCCTTCCATCCAATGACTAGACCAAGAACTAGACGCACGTCCCAGACGCTATTCGAACGGGATTGGCCGCCCCGCGCTGCCGTGGACAACCACTGCTTTCAACTACTACCCAGTACCCAGGACAGCCTCCATACCAATTTCTGTGGGCTATGGAGTGCTGGCTAGCATTGGTGGAGGGGCGAACATTCAACAGTGGTTCCACGGCAGTCAGCGAGAGGCCTTTCGTCGTACGTTTCATTGTCTATCTGAACTGGTCTTCTCTCGTGACTAGACAAAGAACCAAACGAGTGTCCTGGACACCATTCGAACGGGATTGGCCATTCCACGTTGCCGTGGACTACAACTCCCATCTTTCCCCCCTATATGCCTCCCCACCGACTCTCCTCAACTCGTGTCGACGACCCACAGTACGGAGCGCGTAGCCGAGGATCGGTTTGGAATATATGAAGCAAGGAAGCGGTGGTCGATAACGGTGGACGAGGGATGATCGATGCTCTTGGATGTCCATATGTGTAATCCAATCGATATCCCTATCTCAATTCATTCGGCGAGCACAGGCGGGAGAAACGATGCGAATCCTCGTTCTGCACGAGATGTGGACCCGAAGTCAGATGAGAGATAGAAATGAGACACGAAGGAAGAATTTAAAGATACACCCTCCACCGGGGAACCAATGTTGCCCCCATATATATTCGAGCTTCGTACAATTCCACCAATCCCAGCCAACACTTCGTAAGGCCCTGCCACCAGGACGGAGATATTTCGCGGAGGACTGTCAGCTCGTCCCGAGGATCCCACAGCGAACACTTCACATGTTCACAAGTGGGCTCGAACACAGCCAGGGTACACACCAATCAAGTTCAAAGACACTACAGCCGAATGAAACAGAATTTAGTGCAAGTGGGGACCGAAAGAGCAATTGAGGAATTCAAGTGTGAAGTTCTTGACCGATCCTAGCCAGCACTCCGTACTACGTAGCCCGCGAATTGGTATGGAGGCGCGCTGAGGATCGGTTGGTAGTCAAGAAAGCAGGGGTAATCCACGGCAACGCGAAACATCCCGTTCGAATGCCGTCCGGGGCACTCGTCTCGTCCGTGGTCTAGTCATGAGAGAGAAGAAAAGTTGAGATCTGCTTGAGAGGACGTAGAAAAGAAATGAACAAAGGAGGAAGGAAAAGGGGTTTCTTACGCCAATCGCCATAGAACAACCGCAGCCTCCCAAACACCACAAGAAAACAAACCGGCCCCTACTCGACGCTCTGCAACCACTCGGCAATTTCACAGAACGCCCGAATTGACGGCTGGGTGTTCATGAGAGAAATAGAGGCCGCGGTTATCCACAACGAAGAGCGACCGTCGCTCCAATCCAGTGCACCTGAAGGGGAGAGAGGAGCAATAAAACGACGATCGAAGAAAAGTGTCCTAGGCCAATCACCGTGGAACGACCGCTGCCCCTTCAGGCTCCAGCAACCGATTAATCAGACTCGACACTCCATAACATCGAGGTGATAGTTACGGAACGGCTGAGCTGAGGAACGGGAAAGTCTTCGGAGGAAGGGACAGCGGAATCTCGGTATTCCCAGAACATAAATGGATGGACGTGTGGGTATGTTCAAGGGCCGCTGGACGACGTCGAACAAGCGTGAGATCTATTCCAACGAAAGAGCAGTGAAAGCGGGGAAGTCTGACGAGGACGCCGTAAAACGTCCCCATCGGAGCTGTCACACTCATAGACCTCTTCGTTTGAGACAGCGTAGAGCCCACGCTCGTTCTTGCGTCCACTGCGACGAGTCCCTGATATGAGGACGAATGTGAGAGCAGAAAAAACGATCGCCGGACGATAAGTGTGGCAGCTGGCTGTGCAAGCGCTTGTGACGTCGTGGTGCTGTCACCGACTCTCCCCAGATCGGCGTCCTCGCCAGATCACCAGATCTACGGAGGATCTGCGCGGACCCGACATGGGTATCGGCGCACGGTCCGTCTTGGCTGGGCAGATCCTGGACAGAAGGTGTAGAGGTCGAGGTATGAGTTTATGATCATCGAGGATGTGAAAGAACGCACCTTCTTCGAACGCCCAGGAGGATCAAGGAGAGGAGAAACCTAGGACGTGCCGGACTGTAGAGTGGGTGAAGGGCCAGGGCGAGAGACAAAGGGCGAGCTTGGTGAAGTCGAGACTCGAGTGCGTCCTATGACATGCCCTGGCCCGGGACCCACGAGGATACCGTTTGATGACGCGCAAATTCACAGCCCTCAGCGCACCGCGTGTCGTCCCGGATCGATCGTGCCCCGAGACACCTGGACCCAACGTGCCCACCAAGTCCGTCCGTTCTACAGACTGAAATTCCTATGCATCCTTTACCCTCGATCGTCAGCCGACGACGAAGCAAACATGTAACATGTAGTCATTGGTGAGGATGTGAGCAAGCAAGCACGGACAACCTGGACGAACACGAAGTCGAAGTCGAAGTCGGATTGGGGTGTTGGACACGACAGCTGGCGATGAACCATGAGAGATATGTATCTTGACGAGGGATCGACGTTGGTAGAACTCGCGCGCGATGCTCCATAAGGCGGCGACCCGAGACCAGGTCGACAATGGTCCAAATCGAGGATTGGGGCCAAAGACCGTACGTACGAACCACGATAGAGGATGAATCATGTCGTGCTGACCTGGCGGTCACGTTGGGTCGGGTGACGAAAATAAAATGAAATACGCAGTGCAGCGCACACGCCCTCACAACACCATACCACCTGACGGACAGATGTTTAAGAGACCACAATAAAAGTGGACAATTGTCTACCTGGACTCCCCCCTTCAAACGCGGAGAAGAGCCCGCGGAATGGCGAAGGATGGGCAGCCTCGCAACACCGTCCGTCGGGTGGGGGTGTTTGGCGTCGAGAGAGGATGAGGAAGAGGGCGGTGGAAGAAGGAAGAGGACGACGACGAGGGTACTTAGTAGGAAGAGAAGGACGAAAAGAGATCGTACCATCCACGGACGCCGGAAAGAGACGTTAACACTAAGGCTGGAGACACCAAATCCAAATCAAAACGTGAAATCGAAACCCAAATCGTCGACCGGCCCCTAGCACCAAACTTGAAAGCCCGACGGACACACATCGTCGGACACAAGGGATTGAGAACGTCTGAGCAGTCGTCCCCTCCCAGGGTGGAGAAGACCTGTGGACAGATGAAGGTAGATGCAGACTGTGGTCCATCGGGAGCATATGCATGCATGAGGTGTGTGGGTTGGGCGTCGAGGGGAAGGTCCAGGCACGGGCGGATAAAGTAGAGGGGGGGAGGTAGTGCCAGCGGAGGGGAAGGCAGAGGATGGAGAAGGCAGAGGACAGAGAAGTAACAGAGGGTAAGTAGTGGCAGTGAGAGCAGAGAAGGCCGCATACGTGGCACCCACCCATATACACATGTACACGCCCCTCGTAAGATCTCGGAACCACACCACCACACGCACGCACGCACACGCACGCCTCGTGCCATCCCGGTCCGGAGGACTGTCACCAGGAATAGGACACTCGACACTCGTGGCTGTGGAACGATCGCAGTAGAAATCAACTCTTCAAAATGAAACGACAAATGGTAATCGATAAATTCGCACCCTAGGGGACCAACCTCAGGCTCATTCAATTCGTGAACGATGGGATAAACCCTTGACCTGTATGACGAGCGACGGGCGCAGACAGATCGTTCGTCAGGGAAGGCACAGAGAAGGGCGCTTGTCAATGAATAACGAGCCGAGGAGCGAGGGATCGATCAACGGATTGGATGCGGGGGATGTGGGGGTGGGAAGGACGAATTGGAAACCGGGGATTGTTAGAGAGGAGCGACGGAGATGGGTTGGTTGTTAACGCCTCTCTCCGGAGGGCAGCGTATGAGATGGAGGGAAATCCTAGTCAGCAAGCCTAGCCCAGCGTGTAAGTGTCTCCAACCACTGGCCCATCTCGTAACTCCTCTCCCCTCTCTGGTCTATGTCTAACGACTCTTCGTTGGTTGCAAGGGGTGGTCAGGAAGGAACTGCAACGTGATTGGCTGACGGTCGGCCGAGCTGCTCGATGAAGGGCTGCTCTCACCCAGCTTGATCTCAGGTCAGCGTACTCGAACACAGCGAACATGTCTGACTTCCCCAAGGTACGTCGCTCTCTCTCGTCACGTCATCACCCCCCCTCCCCCTAACCGAGATCATCGCCTCCCTCCGCACAACCTTCCGCTCCGGGCACACCAAGCCCCTCGCCTTCCGCCGACACCAACTCTGCCAACTCGCGCTCTTCGCGCAAGAAAACGCCTCCGCGATCTATCTTGACCTCGGGCGGCCAAAGCAGGAGAGCATGGCTGCGCTGCGAAGGTCACTGAGTGGGTTGAGACGGAGGGGTTGGAGGGGAAGGTGGAGGCCAAGGGTTGTGAAGGAGGCGAAGGGGGTCGTGTTGGTCATTGCGTGCGTCTCTTTCCCTCTGTTCGTTATGCGTGGGCTAATCGGAGAATCCCCGATGACGACTGTATAGCCCATGGAACTACCCGCTCATCCTCGCCTTCCAACCCCTCTACGGTGCGATCGCCGCTGGGTCATCAAGCCCTCCGAGATCTCCGCCCACTTCTCCCTACTCACCACGCTGCTCCCGCACTACCTCGATTTTCCGCGTTGTGCTCTCGGGCTCTCGTCGTTCCTCGGACCCTCCCTTCCCTTCCGCCTTGCTCCTCCCCTTCCCACTCCCTCGCCCCCCCTCGCCCTCGCCCTCCGCTCCTCCTCTCCACTCCTGCCTCTCCTACTCCTTTCCGCCCTCCCCCTTCTCCCGTTCCTCCAGTTACTCCCTTCTCCCATCCCTACCCATCTCAATCATCCCCCCTCTCCCACCCCCTCACCCCTCGCTCACTCGCATCCACCCCACAATAATAATAAAAAAACAGTCGACCACATATTCTACACCACCTCCGCACATGTCGCCCGCCTCATCTCCCACCGCAAACACCTGGAGAGTCTCTTCCCTGGGGGCGCACTAGGGAGTAAGGACTACGGCCGGATCGTATCGGACTCCCACCCCACCCGCCTCCAAGTCCTTTTGGAACATACCGCCGGCCGAGGGTCGTACTCTAGACGGGAGGTGGGAAGTGGGCCGAGAAGACCCGCGCGATCGAGCCTACTGTGGTGGTTGACGTTGATCTCCCGCCAGGTGATGTGTTGTTAGAGGACGAACTGTTTGGCCCGGTGTTGCCGGTTGTTGAGGTAGAAGGGTTGGAGGGTGCGTTGGAGTATTTGGAGGATAAGTGCGTGTGTCTTTTTTTTTTTGGGTGGACCGGTGTGTTTTTTTTTGACCAGTGCATTTGGGGATAGGGAACACCCGTTGGCGGTATATGCGTTCACGAACGACGAGGAGGTTAAGAAGACGCGTGCGTGCCCTTTCCTCCTCCCTTTCCTCCCACTCCCTTTCCTCCCACTCCCTTTCCCGTCCTCCCCCTCTCCCTCTCACTTACGAAAAATCCTCTCAACCAGTCGAATCCCGCACAACATCCGGAACCCCCGTCTTCGGCGACACATTCGCCCAGGTCGCGATTAACGAGCTGCCCTTTGGTGGGGTGGGCGAATCGGGGTGTACGTCCCTTCCTCCTCTTTTTAGCGTTGGAAAAGAGAGCTGACAGTGGGCGAAACGAAGACGGGAGGCAGGCCTTGAAGTACAGCTTTGAGAACTTCGTTTATGAGAGGGGGGTCGTGGACGTTCCTTTTGGGTGAGTGGGTTTTTTGGGGGGGGATTTCGGTGGTTTTTTCTTGGTTTTGGTCTCTTTCGGTTTCATTTTGGTGTTCTTCAGACTCGGTGCTGGGTTCTTTGCATTCGGCCGTCCTCTGCTCGGTTCTCGTTCCTCGTTTGGGATGGGAGCGGACAAAGACGAGGACGTCATCGCTTTAAGTCTTCGATTCGAAGACTATGTTGCTGGTTCGAGTTTCTGGATTGGATTTCAGATTTCTATTCCGGTGTTCGGTGCGCCGGAGTGGTCTTCGTCGCGTTGGATTGCATTATACTTCGTTGGACTTCGTTATCGTGCGTTTTGTCTGTTCGACGTTCGATCAACCCTTGCGGCTCGAGGTGGACTATCAATATACCACGTTCGACGGATGGGCGTCCTTCTTTCGTTTTCGTTTTTGTTTTTTGTTTTTCCCCTTTTTCTTTTATTTCATTTCGTCGAAGGGTTATTATCATCTTCTTGCCATTCGACCTACTGCGACCCTTCCCTCCCCCCTCCTCTCGCGTTCCCTCGGCCTACCCCTCCCCTCCCTCCTCGCCCACCAGCTAACGACCACACCGCCTACCCTACCCCTTCGACGCCGCCGCCTTTCTCGCGGACGCCCAGAGAAGAGCAGGTTTATTCTGGAGTTGAATAGGGTCCGGCCAGCGGTGGTACTTGGCGTTCGTCGCCCGTCGTTCAGAGTTCGGAGTTTGGCGTTTGGAGTATGGTGTTTCGCTTCCAATTTGTCGCCTTTTCTCTTCTATACGCGGGTGTTTGGTGGTTGGGATGAGGCCAGCACGAGGGCGGACGAGAATGTTACGTCATCGCTTTGAGCCTTCGATTACGGACGGTGTTGGTTCGAGTTTTTGGATTGGCCTTCGTTTTCCGGCGTTCGTTTTACGTGTGTCTTGCCTGTTCGAGGTTCGACCAATCCTTCAAGCTGGACGCGGGATCTGCCACGTTCGACGGACGGGCGTCGGGCGTCCTTCTTTCGTTTTCCTTTCTTGTTACTTCTCTTCCTTCTTTAATCTAGTCCGAGGGAGACGGAGGGACCATCTCCTCGCCTCATACGATGACCCTCGACCTACCCCACCTATCCGCCCTCGTTAGCCCCGTCCAAAAAGCGTACCACCGCTGCCTGCCCCGAGGTCTCTTGACTCTACCCGCCATTCCCCAGCGCCGCCTTCTTCGGAGATGCACAGAGGTTGGTGGGTGTGCAATGCAAGGGAGTGTGGTGCGGATGGCGGATAGAGGTGGTGGTTTGTTTGCTGGCGTATGGACTGAGGTGTTGCCCGACGGGCGACTGCCGCGTAGTACGTTCCCTTTCAAGCTATCCCATCGCGCGTCGATCTTCTCTCCGACCTCAGGCTTACCCTTTTCCACACGTCTCCTCATTTCCGTTTCCTTGTTCATCTTCCACTTTGACCTCCTCGTCCCTCCTCGTCCCCTTTTCTCTCGTCATCCTTTCTTCTTTGAC